GCAAACCGCAGCCAAAACCTGGCCTGTGTCTCCCTCCAGAGGGAGGAGAGAGACACTGACAGCCCGGCTCGCTTCGCCTTCACGCGCCGGGGAAGGAGCTGAGCGCGGAGTCCGTGTCCTGCGGAGTCCCGGGCCCGCGGCCTTCTCAACAGCCGAAGCGGAGCCGATCCGCTTCGGCTGTTGCCCCGGCGTTCAAAAATGCACTGGGGGTTCACAAACCTACCTGGGCCACACTTCCGTGTTTTCTGAAGAACATGGTTGGCCTCCGCCTCCCCTTTTCTCATCTGCTTTACACTTAAGGGGGGGGGGTTACCGTTCTCACCTTAGGGTATTTTTCCTTCTTGTCCAGGAGCCAGGTATTTTGTGACCTCCAGTCACAAAAGATGCGATGGCCTGTGAGTTAATGTAGGCAAGTGTGCCAGCTTCCCTGGCCAACAGCACAGGAGTTAGCACTGCATCTGCCTTCTTCGACTTCTCAGCCCAAATAGACCAAATCTAGATCAAGACTCAAACTAAAGCTTTAGGGGACACCTCTAAGATACTCCTTCAGGGTTCCAGGAGGAAGTATGAGTCTTATCACCCTTTGCACCATTTACCAAATCCCAATCCTCCCTCAGCCTCCAGGGGCATGGATTTGTTTTGGGAGCTGACAGTGAGGTACCTTAACCACTCTACACACACACTACCTATGTATTACATTTATATACATGCCTTTACATTGTATATATACATACATATCATGTACATACACACACACACACACACACACACACACAATTAAATGGGTCAAATTGTGCACATTCAGGTTGAGTACACCATATTCCAATGAAAGCAAAAAGTAACAGATTCTGGGCCTAGGAAAGAGACGAGGCATCATAAGACACAGGAACTTTGAGATCACAACATGCATTTTGGGTGCCTGAAAAGTATTGTTGTTGTTGCTGTGAGGTCACAGGGTAAGTAGGAGAAAGGCTGTCAGTTCTGCTGGGCTGTGATAAGGTGATGCAGTATTTACAGGGACATCATTAACTTAAAAAAATCATGCCTTAATCTGTTTTGGTTTTTTTAATGCTCTACAGTTAGAATTATTGATTCATATTTAGTTTAGAGTAAGGCCCCAAGCACTGAGCCAAGATTGGGATCCCACAATTCTAGGACTGTAAATGGATAGGGAAACACCAGTGCTTACTCTAAACAGTTTATAACCAGACTGAAATAAGACAAGCAAACATCGCCAGAATAGCAGGGCAGACAACAGACAGTAAAATAGAAAAGAAGTTATGATCACATTTAAAATAACTAAACAAAAAAAATTAAGAGATTTCCTGCCCTCTGATTTTTCAGGCAATTTAACTTTGTGAATAGTCCCATTGTTTCCCTCTGTGGGATATTTCATACCATAAGAAAAGAAAAAAAAAAAAGACAAAAAAATTGGTCCAGGCACTCAGAGCAGGTATACTATCTGAAACTAATTTAACTCATTTTTTTGTAAATTGACTCCATTTCAAGTTGAAAAGCAGGCAAGCCTTCTCCAAATGTAATAGCAGCACAAACTCAAGCACATCAACATCATCCTCATAAATTTTCTTCAAAGACATACTCATTTCTTGCTGTTAAACAGAAGGAAAGGAATATATTCCCCTTAGCAGATAATAACCTGGAAGTTATGTTCCTGAGTTGATTTCCTTGCAGTCTTTGGCAACCAAATAATAAATATTTGTCGAG